GCCTGCAACAAGAATAGGAGACTGTGGACAAGTTCGTGAGCGAATCCGGGACGTAGGTACATTGTAGAAGCCTTGTATGATAAAGGAAAAACTGGAAACGTCTATTTTGTAGGCGACTGTGTTAGCTATGCAAAACTTAACTACACCATCAGATACAGGTCGTCGGGATCTTCGTTGAATCACAATACGTGATCGGTAAGAATTTATTTTACGAATCCGGGAGGAACATAACTTTTTTACTATATATTAACTTGGTGAGGAAAAAATGAGAGATCGATTTGTACGCGACTGTGCTAGTTGTAGAAAACCTGATCTCACCATCAAATAGAGCTCGCCGAGTTTTGTTTTGAATCAGATACTAGACTGGAAACAAGTTGCTGAGCGAATCACGGCATAAAATACTTTGTAGATTTTCTTGGACTCATGGACAAAAACTCGAAAAATCGGGGTTTTCAGCGAAAGATTGGAGCTATTGTAAATCTGATTTTATAAATGAATAGAGCTTCTCAAGGTTTAGCTAGAACAATAATAGGACACTGTCAACAAGTGTCTGAGGAAATCCGGGCTGGAAATACTGAGCACATTTTCTTGGCTGCATGATTGAACGTCTAAAAATCAGTTTTGTCAGCAATTAGTTTTAGCTATCGAAAATGTGATTTCACCAATGCATAGAGCTTCTCGAGTTATACTTGGAGTTCGAATAAGAGTTTGGATCAATTTTTTTGAGCGAATCTGGGCTAGAAGCAATTTTCAGGGTATCTTGATTCGATGGGGAAAAGTTTGAAAAATCGATTTTGTAGGTGAATGGTTTGACCTATCGAAAATCTTATTTCACCAATCGATAGAGGCTTATCGAGTTCTAGTCGAAAGAAGAGTAGAAGATTTGGCATACGTGTCTGAGCAAATTGGGACTGGAAAAACTGGAATCTGCTGATAACTTCACTTACGCAAAGAAACAGATACTACGGTATGAATCACCGGAAAAATAATTTTTCCAACCTTATTCATGGCATACAGATAGACGCCCTCACGATCCCTTTTCTAAGGATTAAAACATGAACCAATAATATAGAATTGTACGAAGTTATTTGACCAATCTTCATTGGTTTTCTTTCTTAAAATAGGTATTACGTGTAGACGACGCGTATTTCTTTCTCGCAATATTTAGTTTTCTACGTTTTTCTTTAAAGTGGATAATAAATCTTTGCAACAGCAAATGTATATAATCACTGACGAAGTGGTAAATTACATTCTGGCAATTTATCAGCTAAAAAGTGATCATTTTGGTCACAAAAATCATTCAATCAAATCATCGAATGAAAAAGGGAAAAATCATCGTCGGTAAGCCAGATATAGAATCCTTGTTGATATGTTACGTTTCAGAATTTGCAGCGAATCATGTCTGCATTAAACATCAAAATGATGCTGAAAAATTTTCTCTTTGAAGATTAGCATTTGTTTCTTCCAACGAAGCTGGTTGGAGACAAGAATCACCCAACCATAAACACGAGAGAAAAACAAATTTTCTTCCTCGCTCTCTTTCTTTTTTCTGTTTGTTTCTCGCTCGTTTAAAACATTTGACTGTTTTATATTATATAGTCATATTACTTGTGTCTCTTATACCAGTCGCATCGTCTTATACTCTCCCTTACACGTGTTCGAACGAATTTACTTAATGAAGTAATATTTTCTATGGCCATTATAGAAACTGCTCTCTACAAAAAAGGATATCCGACAGGATAGACGGCAAAGAGGTTTCCGAAGCTTGGAAACCCCTAAGGCCCCCCTCAGAAACGAACTTTGTTACTTTTCGTCCGATTTCACCCAAATTTTTGGAGGATATTAGTCTAGGATAGGATAGATTATGAGTGAAATATCTCCCCCAAATTTCCAATAAACTAATGAGTTATAGTCAATTTATTGGTCAAAAACACCCTGTACGCGGGGAAGGATTTCACAATAAGGATACAAGCTAACAAGCTCGGGCGGTTTTTAACTTGTAGAGTACCCTTAGGGCCAGATCCTCACAGAGCCCGATTTTTAGATTTCCCTTTGTTTCATTTTTAAAAACACATTTTCGAAAAATGTTCAAATTCAAAGCACTAATAAAAATGAAATATTAAAGTTTTTATTTCACCAAAAGAGAAATTCAAAAATCGGAGCCTATGAGGATCTAGCCCCACCTGCCCTCTATGCAACAAAAAAAATTATCCGTTCTTTATTGAGTCGTTATCAAGAAATCCTTCCCCGCGTAAACGGTATGCTCGAAAAAATTAATTTTGAGAAAAACGAAAAATAAGTTTTTAAAAAGCTTATTTTTTTCAATATGGGGGTTCGGAAAAACCTATGTAATATCCTTAAACCTCATGATAAAATCAATCAACTATAGTGCATTCGAGAGTAGACACTTAGCTCTATCTAATGAGTTATAAATCCAAGGGGGAAACGGCGGACTTTTGTACTTGAAGTAACTTTGGCTACTTTAAAGTACTTTAAGCTACTTTGGAGCTACTTTAAGCTACTTTGAAACTACTTTAAGCTACTTTAAGCTACTTTAAAGTACTTCAAGCTACTTTACGCTACTTTACGCTACTTTGAATACTTTGAATCACTTCCTACTACTGTAAGTCCTTTTAAAGCACCTTAATGAACTGAAAAATGTTTTTACATAATAGGCATACAAAGTAAGCCACGGTCGATTACCATAGAGGCCGTTCAATCGATATCCCAGGACTTGACTAGCTTTAATATATGAGCCAATCCACATAAGCCACGACCCATAGTATTCAGTCCATATCCTCGGATTCGGCTCATTTTAACTTAAATGATAGAGGCAAGTGTTTGATAAGTTTCTGTGACAGCCCATTGAAGAAAAAATGGAACCGTTGATCTTTTATTCAATTTTTACGAAAGCCGATTTTCGGCATCCCATATCTCAAGAATGGTTTAGCCGATTAAGCTGAAATTTTGTGTAGTTTCATACATCATTTAGTTCTGCATATAAAAAAATTTTCAACTCCACCGGACGATTCCTTTGTATTCTATGGATTTCACATAACCCGGTCAAATCAATTTTTTAACAAATTCAACGGTTCCTATCATCGAACTGGAAATATATAGAAGTCCGAAATTTTTATTATACATGCATCTCGGTGGTGCCTCTGTACAGGTAAAATTTCAGCTTCTTCAAGCGAAGCATTCTGTCAGGGTACTCTGGACAAAATCGGATTTTTCATGAAAAAGCCAATATTTGACCTCGATTTTCTAGACTCGTCAGACCTGGAATTTTACCGGAGTTGTCTAATCCAAAAGAGTAAACCATGGGTTACAATGTGACGCAAAAAAACCTTGGGTCGAGCAGAAACGGCTTCGAAATCGATTCATCTGTTTGAGCTTCGAGCTAATTATTAGAGTCGGTCCCTACATCGTATCCTCATGAAAGGACTGTGCTAGAGAGCTAAAAGTTTATCTATCAGGAGACTTTATTGAATACTTATTTCGGTGAAATATTCAAGTTTACAACTAGTTCCTACCTCTCAGAAGGCATATCACAAAATCACTGCTTGCAATAAAAGTCCGATTTTGTCCAGAGTACCCTGACAGAATGCTTCGCTTGAAGAAGCTGAAATTTTACCTGTAGAGAGGCACCACCGAGATGCATGTATAATAAAAATTTCGGACTTCTATATATTTCCAGTTCGACGATAGGAACCGTTGAATTTGTTAAAAAATTGATTTGACCGGGTTATGTGAAATCCATAGAATATAAAGGAATCGTCCGGTAGAGTTGAATTTTTTTTATATGCAGAACTAAATGATGTATGAAACTACACAAAATTTCAGCTTAATCGGCTAAACCGTTCTTGAGATATGGGATGCCGAAAATCGGCTTTCGTAAAAATTGAATAAAAGATCAACGGTTCTATTTTTTCTTCAATGGGCTGTCACAGAAACTTATCAAACAGTTGCCTCTATCATTTAAGTTAAAATGAGCCGAATCCGAGGATGTGGACTGAATACTATGGGTCGTGGCTTATGTGGATTGGCTCATATATGAAAGCGAGTCAAGTCCTGGGATATCGATTGAACGGCCTCTATGGTAATCGACCGTGGCTTACTTTGAATGCCTATTATGTAAAAACATTTTTCAGTTCATTAAGGTGCTTTAAAAGGACTTACAGTAGTTCGAAGTGATTCAAAGTATTCAAAGTAGCTTAAAGTAGCGTAAAGTAACTTAAAGTAGCGTAAAGTAACTTAAAGTAGCGTAAAGTAACTTAAAGTAGCGTAAAGTAGCGTAAAGTAGCTTGAAGTACTTTAAAGTAGCTTAAAATAGCTTAAAGTAGTTTTAAAGTAGCTTAAAGTAGCTCCAAAGTAGCTTAAAGTACTTTAAAGTAGCCAAAGTTACTTCAAGTACAAAAGTCCGCCGTTTCCCCCTTGCATCTACTCCAAACATTTAACGCTGTGATGAATCATTTTTTCAGGATTGAGAATCAAGGTTTTTGTGAAAATTTCATCGAAGTCTACTTTTGAAAATTGAAGAGACACTTTTCTAGGTAAGGTAACTTAATGTGCTCTAGTCAATCGTAGAAAAAAATTGAAAACAAAATTTTGCCGAAATTTTGAATTGCGTGCATCTCAGCGATATAATGCAAGACAGCTAGAGAATGAAAAGCTCTTGCTCTTAAAGCAATTGGATGTAAACAGGATGAATGAATGGCATTACTCCTTTCGGGGCTGATCTGTTGATTCAATCCACATACGACACATTGACCTGGACTGCCTATACATACAGAGGAGAAGTTATTCATCAATAATAATATCAATGTTTGACTGTTCTTTTTCCTTCATTCGTTTGTTGCCAATGAATTTCTCTGCTGCTTGCTATTGCTTTTCATCGTAATACGTTTAATACAGAAGTGCTTCTGATATTTTTCTCTTTTCTGCTCGTTGATTACCATATAAAAGCAGCAACAGGACGACAACAAATATCACAAATATAACTACCATAGGCGCAGTACCCCGTCTTTTATTTCTGCTGCTCTCTCTCTGATTACAAACACAATGACTGATTCTGATGGTGGTTGTCTTGATGCTATTTGCCGTGTTTTTCGTGCTTGTTGTCTTCCTTGCGATATTTTCTGTTGTAATGCTTGTGGTTTTGATCCTGATAATGGTGGTGGTTTTTGTGCTAGCTGTGGTAATTGTTGTCGTAATACTGTTGGTCGTTGTTGTTGTTGTCCTCCTAATTGAAAAAAATAAGTCAAGTATGTTTTGTTAATATAATGTTTAGATGATAACTCATGGAGAGAATGTCCTTGTATTTTATTCCATTATCCCAACATTCTTTTTTGTGCTTCTTTCTTCGATTATTTGATGGTACTGAATTAATTCATTATTTTTTTCTTTGTAGAAACTATGGCACAGACACTGCATCAAAATCGAACGTTCCTATCAAGTATCGTCGAACGTCACCTAGTTAGTAGTTAGTTGTCTCTTTCACTTTTTCATCTATTTTTCTACTTTATTTTTTGTATTTTTCGTAATTTGAAATTTTAATAAAATGTGTGCACCAGGGTTGTCAAGTGAACAAATTAAAAGTCAGAAATTCTTATTTTCAAAATCAGAAGAAAATCATAATTGTTTCTCCAAAATCGGCAGCTAATCAGAAAGAGTAACTTTCTGCAAACCAAGAGGTATCATGTTGACATACTTACACAAAATGTTTCACGTTTTTTTGTTTATCGACTCATATCTTATTTCAAAAAGTATTGCATAGTAAAGAAAGACAACAGAAACATTATATAGCTTAGAATAAAAGATCATGTACTGTAAGCCAAGACAATTGATCATAGTTGAATCAAATCAGGGGTCGCAGCGGCCTAGTAGGCAAAATCAGGAATCAGGACAGGAATTTTGAAGAAAAAAATCAGGATTTTCGCAGATAAATCAGGATTTACAAAACATATGTACTATCCATTGAAAATACACCTTATTTCGCAACAGGAATTACGAAATATCAATTGGAATTTATTTGCCGCGCTGTTCCCGTTCTGTTAGCGATCTTTTTCCTCTTTTATCGGATGCACAGCTGAAAGAGACTGAGAAAAGCTATATAAAACCGACCCGATTGATACTGGACAGAGCCGAACTACTGAAAAGTTCACGAAACCCGTATAGATAGGTATTTCACTGGTTAAAGCTGAAGAGTTCATTCTATAGCTCCGTTTTTGCTATAAAATCACGGATTTACATGTTTCTTATTCAGAATATGCAAGGTGGTAGCCCCTTGAAAAGTTGGTGCATTTATTGAGGAAGCGCCATGGCTGAGAGCAAAAAATTAAAATTCGATGTTTAAACCCGCTTTAGAGGTTCCTCGAAGCTACTGTTAAACTATGCTAGTTATACTTCTATTCAATCTTAATGAATTATCTATCAGTCCGATTTCACTGTACGGCACACGCTACGTAGTATAAATTTTATTGGATTAAAGTGGCATCGCATTGGAGCAGAATAGACTTTGAGTTCAAATGGAGTTTGATTTGTTATGCAGATTAATTGAACTCTTTAAAAACTTTGGTGTGTAGTTTAGGTTTGTCTCGAACGTTCTCTCAAAATATTTTTTTATGGAAAAACTATTCTGAGATAATTTTTAGAACAACTCAGCGCAGTGTCAATTGGATGAAACTGTAGAACTCACGCAGGAATGTGAACAAACCTAATTCACAACAAGAGAAATATGAGAAAGTCTAATAGTCAGAATCCTCGATGCTCTCAATCGACAAAGCGCGTTTCTCTCACCATTCTTTACCATTTGTTCGGTTTACCAAGTAAGGGGTATCATGGCCCATGCCCCACATTCATATATTGAAAGAGTATGGTTCGTCAGATTACCAAATCTTTTTGTCAAAAGACTTTTCATTTGAAACATGACTCTACCACATGGCGCAGCCCGTCAATCCCAGAAATCTCAATGTTCCGAGAATTATCACAACGGGATTGAACACACCGCAGTGTTCTTGACGTACGCACACGACTCCTTGAGGTGCAAAAGAAGGGCCTGAGTACTGTTTGACTCTCTTTCGTTTAGCAGTTGAATACTTCCGTGCAATAATCTTGCCGTTATCTTGCGATCTTTCGTTTTTTCTCTTTCTCCTCGGAATGTGAAGGGACGCGGAGGAATGCAATTTCACCGTGAACTCACCAGTTTATAGAAAACTACACTAAATTTGATCATTTACTATTCAGATCGTGACTGAATATGAGTATTTGAAGACTGATAGAGATGATCAAAAACTAGTTGTCTTGGGTTTTTAGAGTGTTACACCGAGGCTCATAAGTTGCAAGGAAATAATTCGTCTCAATATTACTGTGAAAGCCGTGAAATTCCCCTTTGACGAATGACAAAAACACTTTAGGGGATTATCAGTGCTTGTAAGGAGATCGCTACTCATTTCTATGTTTGATATACCTAGTCTTTCATAATAATCGAAGAGCAATGGGAAACAATCAGGAAAATCAGGAAAAATAGCGGAAATCAGGACGAATCAGGACGCTCTCAAAAAAATCAGGAAAGTAGTGCCGCTGCGAGGCCTGTCAAATGAATGCTCTCACTGTCAAACCAGCTAATTAAAAATATGAGCTGCCAAGAGCGTACACAGACCGACATACACAAGTTTCAAGAAATTCACAGTTTGGTATGTGCCCACATTACGAAATTTCATCAACACTTATTTTTCTTTGTTCGTCATGGTTGGATGGAGCACGACCATTTACATGTGAAAAAGAACATCAAACATATTAAAAAGCAAATTCGAAGAAGTCTAAGAGAGCGTTTGTTTTTAACTACAAGCGTAATGAACAAAAAACTCTAATTGCTGTCAAATTGCTTTTGAATATACCTAGTATTGTTTCTCCTTATGTAAATAGTCGCTTTCAGTCCAACCATCACGAAAAAAAACTTAAGATTTATGAAATTTCATAGTAACAGCACATGACAAACTGTAAGTATCTTGAAATTTAAACATCTCGATCTGTTTACATTATTGACAGCTCATGTTTTAAACTAGTTGGTCTGTGAGTGAAAGCATTCATTTGATTTGAATATGAACAATTGCCTTAATTTGAAGTTATATGACTTTCAATTGTTAGTTAATACAAAACAGCTAGCAAAAGACACCTATTGTCGGAATCTTTTACGAAGTTCAACATTCTGTTTATGAAATAATGCCAAACAAATCATATATATATATATATATATACCATGCAGATCAAAAAAAAAACTTATGAAAAATAATAAAGGTTATAGAATATAAATTCCATATTATTTTTCAAGTTTTTCTTTGTTTGAAATTCGTTCCATAAATGTTTTGGAGCTAAAATATGTTTACAAAATCGTTGAAAACAAAAAAATTAGCATTCATTCTTAAGTTTAGCAACAAAAAAATTCACTGATATATTAAAGCAATCGTCAGTGGTTGCAGAACTCAGAAACTACCAAAGATTAAGAAAGTAGAGAAAGTAGCGCAATATAGATTTATATGATTAATGAGTTATAGCCATAATTAATTTCTCTAGTAAAGTCATCGTCTAAAAATGTTTGAAATCGGCAAAAAATCAGTAAAGAGTAGCTAAATCAAAAAAAATAAGAAGGTTAGAAAAAAATCGCAAAAATGTTCAAGTTTCAGAAACTTTTCTAACTTTTCAGAAAACCAAGCAACCCTGATTTTAACTGTAAGTTTGGGTAAATATGAGTTCTGTTTAATTGGGAAAACACTAACCATGTAAAGGTTGAGAAGGATAGATCAAAGATAAGAGAACACACAAGAACATACATATATGTAGATACGTATGTACATATAGAGTGACGCATTGAAGAGAGAGGAAAAATTCAATGATGTATATGTGGAAACATAAAGGAAAAAACCAAGACGCGAAATGACCTAGTTCATAGGACAAATGTTCATGTATGCTGCACAGATAGGTATTGGAAAAATCCTCAACATTAACTTATGCATGAAATTTTGACGTCATTAGCACTTTGTTCGGCCAAAAACGTTTTGGTCCATCAATAAAAGCCTCGCCCATTTCGTCCAACAGTTTTTCTCGACACAAGAGAAGTTTGTCCGTTGGTCTTAAAATCCTGGTTACGCCGCTGATTTCATGTAACAATTAATGAATAGAGTATAAAAGAGAAATCTACTGGAGAGTGTAAGGTGTAAATTTTGTCTTCATTCCCAGATTAATGATAATTCTGTAGATAGACGTAAAGAAAAGCTTATTTGGAACCTCTAGAAAAATAATATGGCTTCTGTTGCCACTTATCGGATGCAGTTTAATACTTATAAAGAATTCTTATAGCTGTGTTTCTGATGAAAAATGTTCTCAATCAAATAACTCTTGTGACATATTTTGGAATTTATGATGTGCGTTGTATGTATGCTTATCAATTATAAATTTGGCAAAATAGAAATACATGAAACAATTCGTTATTAAATTCATTTTCTAGTTACAAAAAA